CTCGAGCCGTAGGGCTCCGATAAAATGCAGTACGGTGTGAACGTAGCAATGGGCAAGGTGTAAAATGTAATCAGCTATTTTATTCGTCCGTAATTTGTACAAAGATCTCATTTAGTGTAAGCGTATAAAGCATTTTCCACATTAAATGTCGCAATTCCCAATTTTGATTCTTAAACACAAATTATCAAATTTATTATAAAAATGTAATTAGGAGTTAGCTTTATCTGTAAAGTGTGAAAAACATTTTTTTACTGTAAATGGGACTTTCATTTTATTTCCTGTAAAAACGTAAAATGCCTTTTTTTATTTCCTGTAACCTGTACCAGTTACCCCCTTGTCCCCTTCTTCTTAATAGAACACCTGGAACTATATCGCATGTTAACGTGCGACATTAATTCCTGGCTTGATTCGTGCATGCTCGTCACACATACCCATAAGATTTGTGGCAGCGGAAGAATTATCGCACTGAAATGCACGCAAATTTAAATGCGTGTAGGTACAATGTGTGTGCATTGCATGTGCTGAGAATTATCCTGGTGGACAACAGTAATTCAACTGGAGCAGTTGAACGGGTTGAACAGAGGATTATTTAATGTGTGATATTATTTGATTCTTGATTCTTAAACACAAATTATCAAATATATTAAAAAAGTGTAAAATGTAATCAGGAATTTGTTTTATCTGTAAAGTGTAAAAACATTTTCTACTGTAAATGAAACTTTTATTTTATATCCTGTAAAAACGTAAAATGCCGTTTTTTATTTCCTGTAACATGTACAAACGACCTGCCCTTGCCTACCCTCACAATAGATTGACATTTTGTGGCGAAACCATTTGTTGACAGATATAATTGCACATCACATCACATTACAAAATGCATTGTTACATTCCATATTCACAGCAAACAACAAGGCTTGCTGCATATATAAGAATGGATTTAGCGTTTATCCAGTTCATGACATGTGACAAAATTTTCACCTCGAGTACTAGTTTCAGCTGTACGTAAGGTACATAATCATTCTGAACTGGGCTGGAAATCTTCCCGTGCACGCGTTGACACGATGACGACATTAATGTCAGTATAATTTAAATTATTTAAATACAAGTCACCCATGTTCACCACACATGTATGTGTGTAAACCTGAAATATGTCTACCTCGGTTGTCAAAAGCTTATCTGATTTACATATACCATATATAGAATATACTTTAAAATGGTGTGATATATGGGTTGAAACTTGGTTAGCACTCTCTTAAATGGTGTCCCGACACAATTTTGATGAGTATGCGTTTAAGACAATTCGTGCAGTTTTAAACAATATCTACGGTCATTAATGTATGGCATAAATTAATGGCATCCATAATTCGGACAAAATACACTGTCTAACGTGAAACCTAAGTTGCCAGGAGTTGCAGGTCCGTGGCTAATGACGGCCAGGTGAATTTCGGAAAATTTCTAGGATCTAACATCGTGGTTTTCGGCGTAATTTCAATTGATGAATTGGCGGCAAGTAATCACAATTTAAAGTTAAAGCGCGGTGGTCGTCGCACAGCGCGTGTTCGAATTTCATGTAAATAAAGAATGTATTTTACACGCGTTGTATACGTCGTTATGAGTCCCATATCGAACAGGACGCGGCACGACGACTGCCGATCTTTAAGCTGTAGTTTTCAAAGTTATGCTTGGGGTGGCAACATCGCCCATTCGAAAAGAGGATTTTGAAATGAACAACGATTATCAAAATTCAATTTGCGGCTATTCATTTTATTGACGAGCTAGAGGATACTGTCATGTGACCAACGAACTTAACAATTGATCAAAGGCAAGCGGAATCAGCAATGTACCCAGTCTGTTATCTTCCCATGCTTCATCTACGTGATGATCACGTGAGTGACCTGCAATGTAACCTATAGAACAGTAACATTGTCTGTGACGAAATTTAGATGTCTGTCTGGGAAAATAAGAGACAAAATAAGGTTGGGGACGTGTGAGTTATTTTTCGATAAATTTGTATATATTTTGAGGCAGCGTGTGGAGGTTTTTGCATAATTAGATATCAATGTAACGAATACATTGGGTGTGGGGTGGGGTAATATTAGAGCTTTCAAGTGTCGCTGTCTGTGTGTCATGAAAATCTCAAGAATATTTTAAGGCAATTTGTTACAAGTGTGCCTTATGATACTCCTCAGATCTGATCAGGTTGTGGACCAAATGTGGACTCTTTGATGTACCTCTCTCGAATTAACTTGTATGTGGGTCATGTGAGAACGTCTTCTGCTCAAACAGAAATAGAACGCGCAACGCGCGCATTGATTTACCAGCAAGTAATTGTATCGATCGTCGTTTTGAAGACTCAAAAGTGTCACGATGCAGTGGCGAGAGATGTCAGCCTTTTAAAAATCACACATGAAACGACATCCAGCTGAAATGTATGCAGCATGTAACTAATAATACACAAAATCGCTGCACAATGCAAGAACTACTTTAAATGACCACAGTACATTTGCCAATTACGCCCGATACGATCGTCCATATACAAAAATACATTTTAGGATAGTATCAATATTGATGCAAGTTTAAATTTCACAGGTGTGTCTCAATCCATGCAGCTTAGTCAGCCCAACCTCATCCCTTTGTTTTACCAATTGCCTTTGCCTTAGGATTATCAATAGCTTTATTCTAATATTAGTAGTAGCTCCTTTATTATGCAAATGTTACCTTTGGGGCAGGCATCACTATTTAAGCAGAGTATAGAGGCTAGCTCTCATCAGTAGTCTCATTCGCAGCCTGAGCATAGCATAGCATTATTTCTTATTTCCATGATGTCTGAAACACCTCCACAACCATCAGCACAATACAACAACAAAGCATTTCAGCAAGTTTACCAGACATCAATCCATCAAGACCAGCAGCATCTACAGTCAACTGAACCTTTTATAACAACAACAACAATTTATTACCTCTTAACAACCTACGGAAGGAGGTTAAAGGTTATAACAACAACAACATTACAGATATAAATCAATCAAATTACAATGGCTAATAGTTTAAAAAACAGACAAAATTGAAGTTAGTAACGGAAATATATAATAAAATAAAATGAAACACCAACAAAAAACTGTATACTGAATATAAAAACAAGAACCCAATGAATACATAATAGGTATAACAGAAAAGTCAATGACTAAGTAGGTGCTGCTGTCTAATAACAAAGCTGTATTTCAGATATTGTGCCAGAGGAATTGTTAAGTTATTATTTGACATTATTTTTATGAACTTATTTTCAGGTGTGAGATTAGTAAAGTCAGGAATAATCTTTTCAGCTTCATTGTATAAATGACCCTCTCTTTACTATATACTTGGCATATTATGAGGAGTGATGTTCATCTTCAATATCATTTTTATTGCACAATTTGCAGATTCTGTCGCTACTATTTATTCTGTTGTGTCTTCCTTTTTCAATGGACAACAAGGTATAGTCTATCATCAAAAACCATAGAGATTCTTACCAAACATGAATGCAATGACTACAGGTCACTTGTAAACCTTGAAGAAGCAAGCATAGGACGCCAACTAGGCATTTTTAAAACTGCAGTCTGTAGCCTAAGAAAACCAGTCCAGGCACCACCACTACCCTGCCAGGCAGCAGGTACACCAGTAACAGCGACATCAAATGGATCCAGGCCAGAAAATACAGATGATCAACTTACGGCAGCCGTGCAAATGATTTTAAACAGTTCAGATGCCACCAACACAATGGGTCAACCACCGATACAGCCAACATAAGCCAATAATACATTCAGCAATGCATTTCAAGCATCACTTGGCTCCATTCCACCTCCAGTACCAGCCATGGCCAATACAAGAGCAGATATTGACCAAAACTGCACAATGTGACATTGAACCAATGGGGCATTGCGAACACCTGTATTATGTTGACACTTTACGAGTCAGGCTCCTTAAACCATGTAACTATTAGAAACTATATTGCTTACACCTTTAACATTTTTAGATTAGCACTCTATTCAGACTGGTGCCGTGTTTTTAACTATGACAGAGAATATCGATGGCTACAGGCTAATCATGGATTTGCTTGGGGTAGTGATTTGCCTGACCTTAATATCATTATTAGCAGGCCTATTAGTTACAAGACGATGCAGGTTCATCATAGTATTCGTAAGGGAAATAACAGTTATAAACGCCAAGCTCCACACAGTTCTAGTGGTGTAGAAATCTGTCGCAGCTATAACTCACGTCTGGGTTGTCGGTTTGCCGAATCATGCAAATATACTCATGTATGTATTGTCCCAGGCTGTGCTAAAACTCACCCACAGACCCACCACTCAAAAAACGACAATTAGCCCCCAACACTTCCAGCTTCATAGTTCAGGAATCTCCTTCATTGACCAATTTTTTGCATAATTGGATCACCGAACTGACTGGCGATTCTGACCGTGATTTCTTAATCTCTGGTATCACTAATGGTTTTCACTTTACTGATTCTGATGCTTGTATAAAACGGGCTCATATGAATAATTACTCTTCAGCTACTAATCTAGAGTTTCGCAACAAGGTTGAACAACAAATCCTGACTGAAATTAATCATGGCCAGTATGTTTGCACAAGATCTGTCCCGACTATTGTCAGTGCATTGGGTGCTATCCCCCACAAAGGTTGTGATGAAATTCGCTTAATTCACGAATGTAGTCAACCATCTGGTAAAGCTGTCAATGAGTATGCCACACTTGACAAAATCAATTATCAGTCACTGCAGGATGCTATACAGAAGGTTACACAAAATTGTTTCATGGCCAAAATTGACCTGAAAAGTGCATACCACTCTGTTCGTATCCATCTGACTAATTATGAATCTACAGGTTTAACATGGAAATTCTCTGGTGACAGTGATTTCACTTATATGCATGACACTGGACTCCCCTTTGGTGCACGTAAATCTCCAGCTATATTCAACACAGGTTGTTAGGAAAATTATGGCAAAAATGGGCTATGATTCACTTGTCGTTTATTTGGATGATTTTCTTGTTATCACAGAGTCATATGAATCTTGTATAAAAGCAGTTAATGTTTTAATTCGATTACTTCGCAATCTCGGTTTTAGTATATCCTGGAGAAAAGTAGAGGGTCCAACACAGCGCATTAGTTTTATAGGTATAACTATTGACAGCAGAGCCATGCGGCTTGAACTTTCTAATCACAAGCAAGCAGAGTTAATTGAAATTCTAACCAGTTTTGAAACCAAGACTCGTGCAAATAAGCGACAATTGCAAAGCTTGGCAGGGGAACTTAACTGGGCAGCTCAGGTGGCCCAGGGAGGTAGAGGTAGCCATGGCATAAATGCAAACTATCCTGCGCTCCATTGTTGGCGCGAATGCATGGCTATTTTCAATGGCAGGCCTATCTCTCTGAACCCATGGCCAATATCAGATCTACATATGGATGCTTCAAACTATGCTTCTGGTATCTACTTTAAAGGGGACTGGCAGTATACAGTTTGGGAACTGGATTGGCCACAAACTTGCAAATTACATATTAATTACAAGGAGGTACTATCCCTCTATTTGGCTGCCTGTAGATGGGCCCCCTATTGTCAAAACAAATTAGATGTGCATACAGATAACACCATAGCTCAGGCTATCATTAATAAGGACGCTTCACCGGAACCTATTGTAATGACTTTTCTTCGTCACTTATTTTGGATGTCTGTTCTCCACAATTTTCATATTCAAGCAGTGCACATTCCAGGTCACATCAATGATATTCCTGGTGCCATCTCGCGTCTTCATCAACCTGGTAAGTTGACTCGATTCGATTCGTTATTTTATGATCGCCTACTAAAACAACCTAATTGGATTCCTTTACGACCATGTAAA